CTTCTGAACGAATGCCAGAAACTTGTCCCTTTCCTCCAAGTCAATCAAAGCACTAATTGCATCATAATCAGGGGAAGCAGTGGTGACTGCTCAACTGCTGAAGATTCAGCAATCAACTCATAACACTCTGTTCACTGTTTTGAAAGAGAAAGCCTCCCTGTGCAGAGATGGGAATTTCCTGCAATTCCTTTAGCTGACTGACTTTTTTTGCTTTTAGGGAGATGACTGCACCATTACCTGCATGCCAGGAACCTACGGCACCAATTGCTCATCAGTTTGTAATTGCAAAAATGATGGTGCATGTTCCCCTGTGGATGGTCTGTGCTATTGCAAAGAAGGTAAACAAAATTCAGATTTAACAATTGTCTACAATTTGGCATCAATACTTCTCCCCTTTTAAAGTGGCACAGCTGTGCAGTCAGTAACTCCACTATTTTCTTGTGCCTGTCGGTAATTCAACAGTCTGCCCAAGCATTGAAACTCAACAGGGGCCTGACTGTCCCTGACACTATGACACCCCAGCCATGTGCAGACATCTTCTGTGCCTTTTCTGGGGAAAAAAGAAGTCTTGCCTGCTCCAGAGGCTGTCTGCAGGAGTAACATCTTTTCTTCCCACACATGTATCTGTAATTCCCTGATGTGCCTGGTAGTGAGCACAATCCATGTAGCCACTAATCACCTGAGAAATGTTGTACAGCTCCACAGCACAGTACTTCTTATGTTCCTTCTGTAGCAGCACCTTTCCCCAGAATACCAACATGAGATACGACTGTATGTCATATAAGCCCTAAAAGAGAAGTGAGGCAAATAACAATAAAATCTGGCATTTCAAACATGAATTAATGGATCACTGCAGAACTCCATTTAATGAGGATGTATAAACCATGAGTTACTGCTCAACTCTATCATATACAGCTGCAGTGTAATGAAAGCCATTGTGTGGTTGGTAGTTAAGATTTGAGCCTTAATGGTTAGAAATGATGGCCTTGGTCTTTTTTTAGGTATAATAGCTTCTTTATGTTAAAGAGCATTCTCAAAAAATATGAGGGAGGGAAGAAACAGGCAGCATCAAATAGCAAGTTTCTGGCATTCTTGCTGATCAGCAGGTGATGAACCTGAACACAGTGATACCTGTACCACTCTTCTGTACATATAGATGCTGGCAGGTGAGGTTGGGATATCGTAGAAACCAGTCCTAGAACCAAAGCTGCAGTTTGCAAGCTGCCTTTCTTGCTGTCTCTACCTGGCTTATTTCTGCTGTTCCTCTCATACGTTTCTTTAGGGTGGCAAGGAGTGGACTGTTCTATTCCATGTTCAAGTGGAAGCTGGGGTCTTAACTGTAACCAGACATGTTATTGCACAAATGGAGCAGCTTGCAGGCCAGCTGATGGCTTCTGTCTCTGCTCGCCTGGATGGCAAGGGGACTCCTGTGACCAGCCATGTCCTGTAAGTACAGCTGGGATAGTCTTATGTCCCCTTTAAAACCACAGTGCACATAGCTCTTAGGTCAGTATCTCCTTTTGTCTATGGATATCTGAAGGAAGTCCCATGTAAGTAACAAATAGGGGTTCTAGCAGTCAAGTAGATGTATTATGCTTGCATTTTATTTCTTCAGAGCTATTGCTGTGTTAACTGCATTTTCTTGAACAACATTTTTTAAAGTGATTTGTCATTCGGTTCTGTATAGAAATGGTAGGCACTGAGTTGTTTCCTCTCTGTTTGTTAATTTAAAAAATGCGACTCAGCAATAAGAGGGACATGATAGATGATTTTGCATGTTTTAGAACAAAAACTGATTACTGAGAGACTTTTTCATTTATATTTTTGGAAGGATGGAACATATGGTCTTAATTGCAGTGAACATTGTGACTGCAGCCACGCAGATGGGTGTGATCCTGTCACCGGTTACTGCTGCTGTCTTGCAGGCTGGACAGGTAAAATTACCAATTACCTTTGTAAACCTTGGGGGTTTGGTTGTTTCAGGGTGTTTTTTTTTCAGATCTTAGGTGGGTCGTTTTTCCTTACTATTGCATCAGTTATAACACTGGAGCTGTGACTGCAAACTTTTAAATAATTGATTGAGCCAAGATCAGCTGAATTTACCCATATTTAAATCAGTCATGATGGTGACAATAATTGGCATTCATTAAATTTGTATTCAGATTAGTTGAAGATGGCTCTGAACCTGAAGCCAGATGTTAGCCTTCTGTGAGAAGAATCCTCGAGAGGCATGCAGATGATCTGGAAATCCTGCAGAGTTTTTCTCCTTGAATGCCCCTTTCCACAGGAGTGCAGTTATGGTGCAGTGACTCTTGGGACCATCACACCTGGGGATGCAGATAGATGTTTTCTGATGGCTAAGGGTCATTACATCTATCATATAAACTCCAGTTTTGTCACAAAACATGGTCTTTATTCTTTTCCCATTTTCCCAGGCTTCATGTCACACAGAAGGGTAGTTATGGAGAGCAGATTAGTGCTGCCTTGTCAGAGAGTTCTAGTGATGACTCAGAGACAGAGAGGAATATTCAAGGAAGTCTGTGAGTCCAGGCTGGAGATCTCAGTACAATCAGACCTGCACTTGACTCCACAGTGATATGTCTCTTTACCAGTTTTTGACAGCTAGCACAACAGCAGCAGGGGGCAAGTTAGTGACCCAACCAGTATTTCAGAACTTAGCTGCCTAAAATACTGTTTAATCTCCCTCAGCTCTCCGTAGAGACCCTAGAAGGAAATAAACTTGTATTCTTTCCCAAAACAGCAGAACCACCAGAGGCACTGACAGTCAAAAAGCCTTTGTATTAGCACCAATTAATTTGGAAAACTGTGATTGTTTTTCAAACATGTGCAAGTTGAAAGATTGTGTGGAGCAAGACATGCTGATACAGCGGCCAACATTTGGGATATTGTCACCTTACCCCTTCATTTATGCTTTAAAACAATTCAGGCCTTCTGTTTCTGATGGAGAACTAGATCTAGAACTAGAACTAGCATCACAGCAGCTCAGCAACTAGAAGCATGAAGCAAAAGCCATTAAATTATACCTAGAACCTACAACAGAAAAAATCTTTCAAGAATCAATTAAAATGCAAAACTAGAGAGTTCTTACCCACTGCTTACAATAAAGCTACTTTTCAAAGTTACTGGGCACACATCCCTGAAAAAGGCATTTTTTCCAAAAGAAAATCCATTTTATAAGCTCACTAATATCCTGTCTGCCAGCTTGCATTCCTCACTCACTTCACTTGCATTCATCTTTCTTTGAGCCTTTTTGCCATCAATATATCCATCTATCTGGCTTTAAAATTCTGCTGTTCATTATTGATGATCATCACAGAAACTGTTGGTAGGCTTTCCTGCAGTCATCCTGAGTTTCTTCAAGGCAAAAAATGTTTTTTAAAAGTACAGTAAATTAAAGAATTGTATCTGTACGCACTTACTCTAAAAGTTTATTACACATCTTTCTGGATGAAGCATTCCAGAAGAAACAAATAGTCTGTACTTACTCCCATGCACATCTGTAAATGTCCATCAAATGCAGATACAGATACCTCAGAGTAAAGGGAAGAATAATTTCTGTGATATCCTTATTTTTAAAATTTCCTTAGTGGGCAAGAGACATTTATGTTAACTTGTAGGGGACATACTGCTAACTAAGCACTTTCTCCTTCACTGTGCCCCTGCAGCACTGGAACACCCCTCTTCAGGATCACATTTTAGGGAGGAAAATTAGTATTTGAGAACAGGTTGAAGTTAAGATGTTGACAGGGCCATGTAAGGTGTGAAGTGGAAATGTTGATAGACAGAGCCAACATGTGTTGAGACATTTCTGCTGCCAGTGTTTTTTCCACTTGGCTTAGCACCAGACACAAGGATAAATTCTGCTCACACTAGTTTGAAAGTATGTCATTTAAGAAAGTCTCCAGGTAGGTAATTATATTTTCCCATTAAGGAGTATGGCATTGGTAGAAGATGAATATTACCCATAGTTGTTGTGAGCTGGGCTATGATGTGTATTGCAGTGCATTTCGTAAATACGATGTGATAAATAATTCAGGCTTAAATACTTGCTTTCTGAATTTGGTACTAATTAGGCAGGGCCTGGAAAAGATCAGAAAAGTTCAGGATCATGGAACATCTGAAGGTTTTCCTGCCCACTCACACCAGACAGAAAATTCATATGGCTTTCTGATCCTAATAGTCACAAAACCTCATCTGAAACAGCATATTCCGTGTGTTCATTCCACACGTGGGACTCCCTCTTGATGTCAGTGTTCTGTGTAAAGATCAAGGGGAAGATTGAACCATTTTCTTTAAAGTGGTTTGCAAGATGTTACTGATATAAACCTTCAGAGACTGATAGATGGTGGCAGCATGGAGAAAGACTGGAAAAAAAAGAAAAAAAGGCATGTAAAGAGTAGCATGCAATGTAAGTTAGTAGCAGTCTGCCATCTTTTATTATAAGTGTCACCCATCAAGACTATTACTCAGGACAATGACCTTCCATGTGTACCAGCTGGGAGAAGGTAATTTTCAGCTGGCAGAGGGGAAGATGATGAAGAGATTTTCTTGTATTAGCCAGGAGATCACAAAGCTGAGCAGACTAACTACATGCATAAATAAGCACAGTGGCAACAAGCTGCCTAGAGACCTGTATGTACAGTTTCCTTCAAGTTCAGTGGGGAACTGCTCCTGTGTAGCCAAAACAGAAGTTAGATCAGATCTAGAGATGATTGTCCCCTGTCATTATTGCTGAAAATAACCCAGGCAGCACACAGGCACATTGTTTCACAACTGCCTTTGTAGCCAGCATGGCAAGCATAATACTTGTGCATAAAATAACAAAACCACATTGGTGAAAGGCTCTCATGTGATACAAGCCAAGTGAAATGTGTTCCAGTGTGGACCAAAGGGGGATCTGTGGCCTGCTGACACAATGCAGAGCTGAATTTTCCTTAATGTGAGGGGAATGTCAGATGCACTGACAGTAGAGATCAGCCTTGTGCTTGAAGGGAGTTCTCCAGCTTGCACCAGCACTGCATATGCCTGACCTCACAGGTATAAATGCTACTCTTGAAACCAAAAGAAGACGTGTTAATATCTCTTGCTAGGTTAAAAAAGAAAAGTGGAGCCCCCAGCAGGATCAAGTCTTGACTGATTGAATGGTTTTCTAAAGATTAATAGAAGTTTCTCTTACTCCAGATCTGCCAAGCCATTTAGACACATAACACTTCTATGTTTGCAGCTCTGTGTCTGTGTGTGCACACAGGTAGCTTAAAGCTCCCAACATAGTAGTCATTTGTGGGAGAGGTGTTATTTTGTGTATATTCAGGTTAAAATGAACATTGTTGAAAATTGAGTGCTTTGGTGCTAATTGCATTTGGTTAATTAGGGATCTTGCACACTGAATCCTCAGAGAGAATGGAAGTGCAGAAAAGTTGCGTGGTGGAGCATTCCCTGAAAGTCCTTTGCAAGGTAAACAGGTCCTAGAGAAGGCATCAGTCTCATCTCACCCAGGACAACTTCTTCTGGACACTCAGTGGCAGTGATAAGGTCATAAATTGCAGTTCACGTCTTCTAAATAAAAAACTTGAAAGTGGACAGGAAAGGACCAGCTACACTGGGAGCCTTGCTGGTTGGGTTAGAAGCTGGGGAAAGCATGGGAGAGGCAACATTCCTGTAGGTGTAATGCTGGGTGGCTCTGGAAAGCAGAGCTCCAGTAAACCATTTGGGTTCTCCAAGCTGAGCTTAAGACTTCATCAGCTTGGCTTTCTCTCCTCAAGGTGGCTGCTGCCAGCATGTTTCACACCAGAAATGCATTCCTCACAGATTCCCACTAGTTATTACTAAGAAGCCTGTAGTTGATTCATGCAGTACAACCCTCAATAATTCAATTGGTCATAGCTGCTGGTCTGTCCTCTGATTTCTGGAGGTGCTCCCTTTGTGCTCGACCTGAGCCAGGTTAGCTGGAATCCCCAGGAAGCCTCATCCTGTCTCTAGGTGCTGAGTCTGTCTGTTTTCACACTCCAGCATCCCACTTTCAAACAGATTACAGAAAGGAAAGCCACAGGCCTGATACTCACAGCAAGCTCATTTCCTGTGCTCCAAGTTAATTGTGGCAGTGGGTATTTTGTTAACCTTCCAGGTGTTGCAGTGGGATTAAATAGGAAGCAATCTGCAGGGGTATACAGTCCATTCCTGTAAACCTTGAGGTCAGTTAAAATCCTCTTTATCTGAATTCCTTTAATCTGAAATGCTGCCTTACCATAATCTTATTTCTGTCTTTTAACTCTCTGGTTTTTATGGAATGCTGCAGCTGTGATGCTATCTCAATTACCCACTGAACTAGTTTACTCAGTAGCTTTTCTAAATGTCTGAAGCTGAAGTTTATTCAGTAGATGTTAACATCCCAAAAATGTGTGGGGCAAATGAACTGGTCCTGTAGATGTAAGATGGTAAATGTAGAAGTGTGCATCCCGTAGCTAATTATAAAAGAACACCTCATAGATTTTCCTTAATTACTCAGGGTGGCAAATACAGGTATGAAACTGATAAATGGTGGTAAGGAAGTGTCACCGTTTGACTCAGGTCCGACAACAATGCTCTCGATCCCCCCTCCCCCCAACCCAGGTAGGGAAGGAGAGAGAGAAAAAGAGAGAGACTTGGCTGGATTGAAAACTAAACTACACAGCTTTAATTAAAACACTAATGAATCATACAAGAAAATATATACAATTATATACAGGTATAGGCAGAAGCCTCTCGCCGCCCCCCACCCCAGCAACTCCCACAGCACTTCCCTGAACTGGGAAGAGTCCCGAGGCATCCCAGAGCTGCTGCTGAAGAAAGCAGAGAGTTATGGGGGTCAGGAGATCTCGAGCCTAAGGGTCGACGGTGATGGATGAACAGAGTCCTCCCCGGCCGCCAGCCATGG